CACTCTATAGACACTCTCTCTCTCTCTCTCTCTCTCTCTCTCTCTCTCTCTCTCTCTCTCTCTCTCTCTCATGGCACCTAAGACTTATTCTGTTTTAAGGCAGCACAATTAAAGCCCAGATCTGGGCACGAGCAGATGCCCTCCTCATGGGAGAGGAGGAAGAGGAGCTGGTGGGATTGTGCTTCAGCTCATCACCCCACCCTACCCTCTACCCCTTTGGATTGAATGTGCTGCAAAGCTCTGTTGTAACCCACATGTCTGGCACAGGGCGGGTGTTCAGGACAGTGATTTTGTAGGAGATAGCAGCTGAGTGGCCCTCTTTTGTTGGAACCTGCCTGTCTGGGTAAATTGAGGACCCATTCTCTTGGAGAAGAATCTCCTTTTGTCTCTTTCCCTAAAAAAGGCTGGTGATTCTCACAAACCCATGGTGGGGGCGGCTACTTCAAGGCCTATGGTCATGACCCTGAGGTGTCCTCCCTACCACTTTTGCTTCCCCAGTGAAAGATCAAAGGGAAGCAGTGGAGAGGAGGGACCAGCCAAAAAAGTAAAGCTCCCTCCCAGTAGCCAAGCACCTCTCCCTCTTGTCTTACCACTGGCAGGGTCACAGTGCAGACTGGGAAGTGGCTGCAGAGTCCTTTCTACCCTCAGCTGTCTGTGGCTTCCTATTACTCCCCCCCACCCCCGCAGCCTGCTACTCTCTGATTCTACACACTGTCTAGTCTTGGATTCATTATTGTAGGAGTGGCTGTTTCTTTTTTCCTAAAGTCTTACTGGGCTTTATGTGAGTATGATAAAGAACTTGTTGTTTATCAATGTCTCCTTCATTTATGTTGCTACTTCTGATAAGGTGTCTGATAAGGTTGCTTGTTAATTAGTTTTGTTTTGAATCCCTCTCTCTCAATGACATTGCTTTTAGTTGGAGAGTAAATCCACCATAAGAAACCTTTGGCTGAGCCTTGTTTCCCATGAAAATATTTTTATATCACAGTCAAGAGACCAGGTGTGAGGTCACTGAAAATCAGAAAATACAAGTTATTTTCTTGCCTGAGAGCACTCTGCTTGTGTCACTGGCAAAGGTTACACTAGACTCAGTTCTTTCAGGCATCTCAGCTCAGGAACTTGCTCTAGTGTTAAACTTGGAACTTTAAAGATCCCTACTTTGGAGACGAAACATCTAGAGAAGCATAGCTATGCTATCAGTCAAAGGACAGCTTTTGTGAGCATGTAGTGTCACAGATCAGTCTTACCCACATTCATCGATGACTGGTATGTCATTATGTTGCAACTGATTCCCCGAAAGACTGAGACAAGTTTGACCTCAGGAGAAAAGACAAGGTTTGGCTTTAAGATATGCACAGAAACATCCTCTGGAAAGAGGAGGGTACAGAGAGGTGATGCTAGTGGGGGGGTGGTTCCCATGATGGGTTGGAGAGAGGGATGAAGTATGGCAGTTTTCTGTGGGCCTATTCTTAGCACAGATGGAACTGTAGGCAATTCTTCTGGCCACCTGTCCTTCTGGCCAAATTCCAGCTAATGCCGGCTTTCCATATCATTAACAGAAGACAGGACATAGCTGTGGAATTTATTCTCCAAGTTCCCTTTGTTCATCACACCTCTGTCCCCTCCCACAATACAGATTGCATTAAAAATACTTTAGCTGACTATAAAAATTGTACTCATAACCAACATTCTATGCTATCCATAAACACAGAGGAACCGGAGATGAGATCTTGTCCATTGTGAATACATATACAGGTGACATTTGTTTTCATATCTGTCTAAATACCTCCCCCAGCAACTCATGCATACAAACAAGTTCTCGGGGACATGGCACACCTTACTTTAAAAAGTACATGATATGCACATGTGGTAGTAGTCTCTACTACAAGATAAAATCACCTGTGGTTATAGGAGTTCACATGCAGTTTACTGTTACATGAGGAGAAAAGAAAGCTGAGTCTCAAGGAAGCAGGTCAGCAGATTCAGCTGGCTGACTCCACACACATCATGATAAACCTGAGGCCCATTCAAGTTGAAGCTCATTCAAACCCTCAGTGGGTGAACACTTTTCTTTCAAAATTCAAAATACTATGGTCTGTGCCTATTTAGCTCACTTGGGAGGAAGGCAAAGAGTCCTCAGTGATCCAAGTGACTTGAGATGAATCATCTGCATTCCTTTCAGAGGTGTGAAATGGTGTTATTTCTAAAAACAGTACAGGCCACCTACATTTCCCCCAAAAATGTCACCTTGCACCCCAGGTGCAGTCTACCCGCTGGTTCTCGGGAGTCTCCTCTGGTGGCAGCATACCCAGAAGCACACCTCCACAGGGGCATCAGTGAGTATTCTGAACGGACCACCTGCCGAGCAAAATGAGATCAGGTAGAGCTCCCAGCCTCGCTTCTCCCAGTACTATAGACAACACCAATAAGCGCTGGTTTCTGGGAGTGGGCAAAAATTCACACATGGCTTTCTGGTGGAAGAACACTTCAATTTAGACAGGATTAGATGCGTCACTTAGAGAGTCAAGTGTTCATGTGCCATTTATTATGCAAGTGAATATCAGAGAGTCTTTGGATGCTTTACAGAGTGAGAAAGAATAAGATTCATGAGAAGAAAAGCCAAAGCTAAAGATGAGGAAGTAAGAATGTAGATGTCAGTGAAACACAGAACACAGCAGTTCTGGACAATTGGAACCATCAGAAAGGATATCTCGCAGGGCTGTCCTTAAGGGCATTGAGGAATCCTGTTTGCTGTGAACCTGTGGGAATGAAATCAACATTTAGTATCTGATAGTGATCTCCAGAACAAGCAGCCTCATGCTGAGAGCTCTCATCTACATAAAAATAATAGGTGTCTAAAGATCAATTAAATAATTATATCTGGTAAGTGCTACAGCACTCAGTTTACTGATCAGAGAATGAGATTCCACTGAAGTTATTCAACAAGAAAATGGCAGATTCATAATTACACCCAACATCTGCAGGATATTTTTTCAATAAAAGCAGATGGATGTCTGCGTACTTTCCCATAAATTATAGTTCTGATTACTCCTTTGTTTTCTTTATTTTAATAGGAAAACAGAATACTGTATACCATTTTCCCTCCGAATTTAACTTATGATCCTAGAAATCTTATAGAATAGTCTACATATGATACAGGCTTCTTTCTCTGCACCCAGAGTAAATAACGTCGTAAAGCTGAAGTTTATTACTGACTCTCTGTGAGTTTAAGATGTTTCAGTATGAGCTGGTCTGTACCAGAAAGCATTTCTTTAGAAGTGGGAGTAAAGGTGCATCTGATGAAAAGCAAGTTTTAATGTATTAGCGTCACACTTTTTAAAAGAAAAGCCTATGCAGAGAAGTCTTGAAAAATCTCATCCTGGGTCATGACATGGGGTCCCTCTGTGCTGTATGAAGACACTGCTTCAGGGGACAGAATCTGGCCCTCGTGCAACAATGAAAAACACAGGAGAACTGGTTGAGACCACACTGGGGCTGTTGAGCCACTGTGCTGCTTTAACTGCCATGGCTGCAAGGTGGGATTTAACAAGTGGCAGGGTCGCAGGCCCTGTTGGGTCACCAGAAAGTGTGTTCCATTCTGGAAAGGTGAAGAGGCCCAGCTTCACATTTTTACCTGAGTTCCCTCTCCCACTTCATCCCCTTCCCACTCTAAGGCACAAAGATGTGCCAAGTGGACATGCTGTAGGCCATGGGCAAACACAATTTTGAGGTAGGAGGAGATCCAAAGAAATTATTTCTTTCTGTACTAAACTCACAATGTATCATTTGCCTAAACTCTTCTTCCCCTATAAGGAAATCTAGACTTGTCCTTCCCAGGAAGCCTGGAGACCAGAGTTGTCCCGGCCACCCCACAGCCTGCTGCCTGGCAGGGAGAACCCAGGTACTGCAGTCCAGCTGCTCTGGGCCAGCTCGGCCTCTGCCCGGGTTTGCTGAGTCTTACGGGGACACAGGGGCCATGTAAAGCCTCTGTTCTTCCTGGAGGCATCACGTGTCCAGTGGCTGTTTCTCAGAGGTTACTGGGGATGGGATGCAGAACGAGGGGAAAGGAAAAGCTTCATTTGCTTTCCTCCATGATATTCAGATATTTTGCAGGCAGCTGAATTCCTAAATTTTGTGCAAGATTAGATGGACAATGTTTAAGCACAGACCACAGGACTCTTCAGTTTAGTAGATGGAGTCAGAGTGAGTGAGACTTCAGTGAAGGTGAAAGTGAAAGATACATTACAATGTGACTGTGGAGGCATGGGGCAGACTTCAGACTGTGACATGTATAAGGCCTGTAGGTGGGCCGGGATGTGGGTGTGTGAGAATTTCTGTGAGTCCGTGAGAGTGTGAAGTTTGTGTGTGTATGGGTAAGGGTGTGAGAGACTATGTGAAAGTGTGTGTGCGTGTGTGTGTGTTTTCCTGGAGTTTATATCATTGAGCAAGTAAAAACTGGACCTAGATTCTCAGAAGGTAGGGCCAAGGCCATAAATACAATTCAGTGGTGTATATGAAAGCATTTTTAGCCTGTCAAAGATGACATAAAAATATAAGGTAAAATACTACTTTTTAGTGTCACATGTTGTGCTGGAGTTTCTATTTATTTATTTTCTGGTTGTGCCAACAAGTGCTCCTTTGAAAATAACATATACTACTCTGTGTTTTCTCTCTGCTTCTTTGTCTGTGAATCCACAGATATGTGCCTGGTTCTGTTTCTGCCAGGTTGGGACGCTGAAAATGGAGAGAAAGGGGCCTGTACAGAGCCACCCACAACACCAAGCTGTGGGTGGCATGGAAGAGGACTCTAAGGAATGTAAATCATCTCTTGAAAGCCACTTAAGTTATGGCTGTCATGCATATATTACAAATTACAAGTTCAGGTCACATTTGTACAATAGGATTATGGTCCGAAAGAGTGGGAACTAGGATTGCAACTATCTGTGAGAATTTGGATAGTTCATTCAGTGTCCTCATTGGGCTAATGTTCACAGAGAATGAATGTGATCATTCAGCACTCCCACACCACACCACTCACACAGGTCCAACCCAAGGAGAAGGGGAGGGAAGTCTCAGCCTGCTCCATTTGTGGGTCAGCACAACTGTGGTAGAAAGTGAGGCCTCTGTTCAGATACTTCTAGAAACATGTCAGGGAGAGGCTGTCAAGTCGGTAATGGGCTGCTGTCCTTCAGGAATGTGGGCAAGAGGCAAAGTTGGCTTTTATTGTTGCTGATGGCACTCTAACAGAAGTTTAAGGGGTTGAATTTATAGTTCAAAGTCAGTTAACTTCCTTCTCATCGGTCACTATTGTAGGAAAATGAAAAAACAGGAGACAAAGGAAACTCCAAGGTATGACCTTCAGAATGGGGAATGAGGGCTGGGAATGTAGCTAAGTGGTGCCAAACCTGCCTGAGAAGCATAAGATCTTAAATTCGATCCCTGGTTACGGAAAAGAAAAAAAATGGAGAAGCGAAAATAATGCCATTTTCTTAGGCAAATATATTAAGATCATTTGTATCTAAATCTAATTTTTAATAAAATTGCTTTCTTTATATTCCAGGAGTAGTTTGCTCGTGTTCCAGTAGATAACTGAATATCTCGTTAAGTGTTTATTTTTAGCATTTATAAATGTATGCAAAAGAAAAGCTAGTCTTCTTAGTTATGTTTTCCCTATAGGGGATGACTTCGTGCATAAGTAGATGCCTTGTTAAGAGTACAGGTTCTAGTATTCAGTGACTGTCACTGTGTCCTTCAGGTAAAATGTGGGGATGAATTTTTTAGGGGATCCCTTAGCAGCATTCATTGATATTGGAACAGTGATAGGTGTTACGAGGGGACAAGTCTTGTTACTGGAAATGAAGCCTGGTCTAGGTATGACCCCAGAAACTGCTGTTGGAAGGATGGGGTTAGGGGGTGGGGAGAGATGAAGAGGGATAGAGGAAGTGAAAAATGGAAAGGGGCAGGCTGGAAGTGAGGAGGGAGATGGGGAGAGAGAAGGAAGAGAAAGCCCGAAATGATCAAAATAGTAAATCAAAATTAAATCAGAAAACCAAGGTCAGGCAAATGGTTACATACGTAATCTGATTTCACCAGCATACTTACGAAGAATGACGTGGGTGATAACGAATGCAAATATAAAGACTGTCAGAAAAGACAGGGATAAAATAAACATATAAAAAAATCTGTAGTTTCTTTTCCCCACACAGTTGCCTACCCAGGGACAGTGGTGATCAAACCGTTCTGAAATGAGAGGCAGAAAAAAAAAAGTGGAAATTAATTAATAAAATGTCTTTTTTACTTGACGGAGCCCCTTCCCCCATATTCTCTACTAATAATATAACCAAACAGTATCATACTGCAGATTTCCAAATTAGATACCCAGATACTTATTCGCAGCAATGTATTTCAAGAATCTAATTGTTCGTTCAGCAGAACTGAGCTGATTCAAAAAACTAGGTGTATCTACTCTTCAGGAATGGTCACTGTAAGTAGAGGTATACATTTGCATTAGAATTAGAAAGGTAAGGATTTCCTTCCTTCTTGAAAGAAATCTCCTTGTATTCAGAGGACAATCTTCCCTTAAGATGGTGCCAACACTATCTCATGGAAAGTGCCAGGCCGGGCTGGGCTGGATGTGGCACTGGGAGACTGCCTGGTATAGTAAGTGTCCATGAGGAGAAGTCACAAGAGACCTGGGGCATTTTCACATCTCTGTTACAAATGTTTCACATAAACTGTTCACAAACATTAATATATTCGGCCTCCAAACATTCCTCTAAGAAAATAATGACGTTGCCCTATTTTACAGGTGAACCACTGAGTTTTAAGGACATAGAGGCTGCAGGCAGAGGGCAGCCAGCTCAGAGGCGTGGAACTAGCAGTTGAGGCCAGTAGTTTGGGCGCTACTCCCTCTCCCACTGTATATGCTGCCTCTGGTGCTCAGTGATGACAGACTGCTGAGTTACTCCACAGTACCCTAAGTGCAAACCCAAGGCTTCTCATTCTGGGATTTCACCCAAGGCCCATGATGCATTTCTGATTGGCTCTTCCCCTCGCAAGTGATGGCAAAGTGCTCCTCTGTACTACTCAGATGCTCTTCTATTCAGGAGCACAGCTCAGTGTCATCCTAACACAGCTGCTCACATCAGGCTGCCTGCTACACCTCGGGGGAGGAAAATGCTCATCATACAACTCAGCTTTGTGCTCAGGCTCTTTGAGAAGCTCACTTTCTGCATAATTTTCATAGTTTAACTATCTATTATACACTTTAAAACACACAGAGAAGGCTATCTGAGGTGTGACTATACAAATAAAACATTACAGATCTGGGCAGGTGTTCAGTTTCATGACTCTCTGGTCATGTGTCATAAAACCACTCATCTCACATGTGAGATGCTGAATAACTGTTTCCTGAAAAGGACAGCTGGATGAGGGTTGGTAGCAGAGGAATTGTAAGGGAACCTCTGTGGTCAACAGGTGTAACCAATCTGCACAGAGGATATAAGGATAAATTTCAGAGTTTGCTGGCTTGGTGGCCAGCCCAATGGCCCAGAAGATACCGACACGCAAGTGAAATAATTACTGTTGGTATACCCATGTGAGTTACATGTTAATACTGAATAAAATCAACCTCAGTGGGGTCAAGGGAGAGTGGGAAAAATAGGTGGAGCACATAGAATGTTTAAGGCAGTGGAAACACACTAGGCAATGATAGATAATGTCATTATGTATTTTTCCAAAGTCATAGAGTATATAAGGCCAAAAATGAGGCCCAGTGCAAACTATGGGCTTTGGAAGATTATAACATATCAATGTAGGACCAGCAATGGGAACAAATGTATCCCCACTGGTGGTGGGTGTGGACAATGGGGAGATGGTCCCTGTGGGGTGGGAAGGATACAGACACTCTCTGTACCTTCTTCTCAGTTTTGCTGTGAGCCTAAAACTGCTCAAAAAATTAGAGTCTTAAATGTCACACAAACTTCATCTTCCCAAGTCAGAGGGAGGCCAGTGCTGGGTGAGAATCCACCTCCAACTGTGCAGGGGATGCAGGGCAGGCTTGGGAGGTTCACTGACAACAGGAAGCCCCACGGAGGACAAAGGTCCTGTGCCTCTGTAGCCTATTTCCTGGTAGAGGCAGAGCACAAAGAAGTGACAGATGGGGGTTGTGGTACCAGAGGCCGCTAGGGAAACCATTGCTCTCTGAGGGTGTGGATTCAGGCTCCCCAGCAGCCCTGACCTGGAAGCCATTTCCATTCGGAAACTTGTTTGTTGAAAACTTTTTCTTGGTTGATAAAAATTTCCACAAAACTGCAGGTGCGCAGGGAAATTCTTTCCCGGGCCATTTCTTTTCTTTTTTTTCTTTTTTGGTTTTTTTGAGACAAGGTCTCACTATGTAGTTGAGACTGACCTGGAACTCACTATGTAGTCCAGGCTGGTCTCAAATTCATAACGATCCTCCTGCCTCAGGCTCCGGAGTGCTGGGATTACAGGCGTGAGCCACCACGCCCGGCCTATATCAGCCATTTCTCTTGGCCCCATTGTTCTGTGGCTGAGTTCAGGGTGGTCAGTAGGCCTGAGGCTCCTGGGCCCCTTTGTGGGCCAGCAAGCATGGGGTCCAGGGTCCAGGAGAAGCCCTCCCCGGGTCCTCATACTACCAGCAGACATTTGCAAGAGAATGGAAGTTGCCCAAAGTCACTCAGGTAAGGAATCACAAAATGGGAGTGGGAGTACAGTCCAATTGTCCCAGATCCTAAGTTCTTGACCAGTAAGTGCCATGCTGCCTTTACTGAGCACCTTCTATGTGCTCAGCACTGTCATAGATGTTAGGAATACTAAGGAGAAATAGCAGCAACACAAGACTCCATGGCTTCAAAGAGTTCCTTATCTTTTTTGGCAAGGACACTATTCAGCCTCTGAAATATTCCTCAGATGCAAGAAACAAACTGCTAGTAATCTGAATTTAGCTTCTGGATCAGCCTGCTCCATCACCATTGTTGGCTCCATACAGCATTCTCCCTTGGCAGGTCAAGGATAGAATGGGCCATGAAGCCTGGTGGAGGCCTCCAGGTTGGCTGGCTCCGTCCCATGCGGGGAGAGCTGCCCTGCACCCTGAATGTGCTAAGCAGGAGGGTGGGAAGCTGAGGTGCTGCAGGGATGGTTCTGAATGGCCAGGTTGTGTTAGTCCGTTTTCAGGCCAGAGGAATAGGCAAGATTTGGGCCCAAGCTGAGCTGGGGAGAGAGCAAGTGGCCATAGCCGATGTATGACCTAGCTCCCAGGGATTGAAACATCTGGAAGAGGAGAGGCGACCCCCGTAGCTGGCAGGGCTAGCTGCATGTAGAGAAGTTTCAAACAGCTGTTATTGGAGGTTAGTTTGTGTAACTTCTGTGTGGGAAAATGGAATCTGTTTTCTGTGTGCTGAATGTGGGTGAGTGAGAGGGGAAATTCTTTAAAGAAGCATTTTCACCATGACACACGCCCATAATCCTAGCAGTGAGGAGGCTGAGGCAGGAGGATTACGGTGAGTTTAAGGCCAGCCTGGGCTACACAATGAGTTCAGGGACAGCCTGAACTACATAATCAGACCCTGTCTCAAAATAAAAATAAAATAACATGTTATAATAACTCCAAAACAGCATTTTTTGACCTCATGACAGTGAGGTCTGCATCCCGACAGAGGGAGTGGTCCCTACACACACCATCTCTGCAGGGAGGAGCTATCCCCTGAGGTAGGGCTGCTGAACTACTGGTGTGGAGAGAATTCCAGAGTTCTCTAAAGTAAACTATGAATTAGCTATCTCTGGTAGCATTGGGCTGTGCTGCAATAATCAAAGGACTTGTTTTCCTCTTCTCCTGGGTGACTCTGGAGGCAAGGAATCATTTGTAGCTATTCTTGTAGTACAGGTGGAGGTAGACACTGACAGCATTAAGGACAGGAAAATGACCTCCATGGCCTTTTACTTGTTTGGGGGCTGTACTGGGGATCAAACTCAGGCCCTTGTGCTTGAGAGGGAGGCGGTGGAACCACTGAGCCAAATCCTCAGCCCCCCTTTATTTTGGTTCTATGGCCTTTTGTACGAGTGATGGCTGCTCCTGGTGGGCCAGGTGGAGGCAGTGGACAATGCTGGTGGCAGGTAAGTTGTTGGCCATGCTGAAAAAGGGAAAGCAAGGTCCTTGTCATTTCATTGTGCTCAGAGAAGGCTGAGAGCAGGGAGATGCAGGGTCAAGGCTGAAGGAACACATAGAGAGGTGGCTGAAACCAGGGAGGTCGGAGTGCTTTCATTCAAGGGTCTGAGGGTGCTACAGAGAGACCCAGGACTGTAGTGGAACCAAATCACCTCTCTCAGATTCTCACAGGGGAAGGAAGGTTCTAAAGTGGCCAGTGGGAACATAGGTCAGGAATAGAAGATACCATCTTGTTTTGCTTACTTGCATTTTGATAATGATTAAAGAAGGCTTCCAGCCACTGAGTACCTGCTGGACGCATTGTTTCCTTCACCTGAGAACAGCCTTTGAATGTAGTTACTGTGTCCCCAGTTCTGCCCAGGAGCCCCCTGAGCAGGGGAAAACACTGGGCCTGCTGCAGGAGCAGGGCCCTGAGCTGAGTCACTGTGCTTCTCCTATGTGTAAAGGAACATTTCATTTCTGGGAGCAATTGAATAAAAGCCTTAAAAGTAAGAAGTAGAAAATTATTAACATCAGACAGGATCTAAAAATGGAAATATGGAAAGAAAAGTATTTGCAAAAGGTGTGCTTGAAGGCTGCCAGAGAAAGAAATGACATATTTGGGAAAATGTTAAAAATTCAAAGTCTCAGAGATCAGGCTCTGACATGGGCCCTGTAAATGGGATTCAGAGCCAGGTACAAGTCACATCCCAAGGCCAGCACAGGCAGCCCAGAGCCAGAATGCTGTTTTCTGTGTAGCTCAGACTCAGCAATCAGAAATTGTGTGGGGTGGGCTGGGATGGGGGTAGAGAACATCCTAGCCTTCTTCCCCAGCCTGTTTTGAGAATCATGTGAAATAAGAGATGGAAATGTGCAACTGAAGTTTAAACCTGCTAATTTAAATGTTAATTATATTCAAATTAAATTAAATTAAATGTTTTTAAAGTTTTGAAGTGGAAAACTACTCTTCTTTAAAACTCAGGCTTTTTAACCTCCAAAATTAGAACAATTTTGCCTTATATAGTATTTTTCATTTGCTTTTTCACAGGATAAATGTTGAGATACAGTGGTACAC